CCCCCCCCCGGCGGGGCCGCCGAGTGCTGGCTCCCTGACACGAAGTATCCTGGCTGACCGGACAGCAGCCCGACCGGCGACGAGCTCATCCCGTAACTGTTCGTCAGGCCCAGCGGCAGCGAGCGGCCCAGCTCCCCGTTACTCAGCTGCTCCACGGCGGGCAGCAGCGAGCCGTAGCCGGCCGCCTGGTTCAGGAAGCCGGCGGACGAGCCGTTGTAGTGCGGGTGATGGTGGTGGTGGTGCAGGGACAGGAACGGGGACAGCTGCCAGTACAGCGGGTTGCTGCTCCGCTCGTTGATGCCCAGCCCGAGAGGAGCGAAGCGCAACCCGCGCTTCATCGCCAGCTTGCCCCGAGAGGTGGCGGAGCGCCGGCGGAGCTTCCCGGTGGTCCCGCCGATGAACACGTCGTCGCTGCTCGGGTCCAGCATCCAGTAGTTGCCCTTGCCCGGGTCGTCGTAGTGCCGAGGCACCTTGACGAAGCACTTATTGAGGCTGAGGTTGTGCCGGATGGAGTTCTGCCAGCCCTGCTTGTGCTCTCGGTAGTACGGGAAGTTCTTCATGATGAACTCGTAGATGCCGTTGAGCGTGAGCCGCTTCTCGGGGCTCTGCCGGATGGCCATCATGATCAGCGCGTTGTAGCTGAACGGAGGCTTGTCATACTTCCCGTTTTTGCCGCCGCCGGTGTTCTGCTCCGGTGTCGCCTTGCCGCCGTCCCCTCCTCCGCCTCCCCCTCCGTCCCCCTCCTCTTCCTCCGGCTCCTCCTTGCCAGGTTTCTCCGGCTCTAGAAGCGTGGAGGCCGCAGAGTCCACCTCCGGGGGGTCCAGAGACTTCTCGCAGTCGGAGCCCGGGGAGAGACACGGGGCTCCGTGGATCGCGACCGTCGCGGAGTCCGCACGCTCGCACTTGGAGGGCAGCAGGAGGCTCTTGATGCTGAAGGAGGAGGACCGGTGCACGGTCGGCGGGTCTTTTACATCCTCCATGCCCGGTGGCGGCTCTCCCGACAAAACCAGGAATAAATAATAAAAAAAAATGAACAACCACAACAACAACTCCGAGGTCCTCCACCTCCGTGATCCGAGAGAGAGACAGAGAGGAGAGAGAAAGGAGGCTCAGGATGAGAGACGCATGGATGGAGAGAGAGAGAGAGAGAGAGAGAGGGAGAGAGGGAGGGAGAGAGCGTGGCGTGGATGTGGAGAAATTAGTAATTAAGGAGGTTCCGACGACATCACGGAGAGGAGGAGCTTCTCCAACTTGGTGATTTTGTCAACAAATCCTCTTTTCTCCTCCTCTCGCTCTCCGCGCGCCTCCGTCTCCAAACCTCCGACCTTTCCTGTCTCGAGCCTCACAAACCTGTCACTTCATCTGCTCCCCTTTAATCTCTCTCTCCCCATCGTTCCAT